GTTATGCCTTTAAATAGCACCTTAGAAGTCAGAAAGGGGTAAAGGCCATCCAAGATTCACACTTGTTCTAATTTGTGTTTACAACTACTGGTTGATCTTTAGAAAATAATTCTTAATCCAAGTATTAAACTTAGCTCAGTGTTGTCATAAGTTCTGGAGACTTCTCTTATAACTTTGCAGGAATGGATCACTTGAGTATATTTACATAGTTTTGGTAAGTGTAATTATCTTACTATATAACTTGCCAAGATATAGTATCTGTATTCTGTAAATAAAAGCTATTAGATAATGATCAACCCCCAATTTTATTTTTCATATTGGACACTTTAGAAAATTTTGGACAAATCTAAGTGGAAATTTTATTTAAGATGATCTTGACTTGGAAATAAAAGTCCTTCAAAACATGTGAAGTTGTAATATTTTGACATGGAGCTGTGATGTCCAGATGGGCGACTGAAGTTTGGGTGAAAAAAATGGGATTAAAAAGCTAAACCACATTTTTTTCATAAACATCTTAAAATTCAAGATTACATTATAATACAAATTTTTAAAGCACACATTTGAAATGTGATGCAAAATTTAGTGTATAATACAATTGTCTATTCCTACAAAGGATAATATCTACAACCAAAAGTGTACAATTTGTTTTTATCAATATGTGATCATTTTAATGAATTCTACCTAAATTTATTCCTAAAAGATCCTTCAATTACATTACTTCTTGAGTATATAATTTAAATACAATTGTACTCAAATCACATTATATTTAATATTTTCACTGTTTGGATTCTATGTAATAATAAAATATCTGAAAACAAAGGGAATTTGATACCACGGATCTCTATAGAGTTCATTAAAAAACTAGATAGACCATATCACTTATAATAGTATAATCTTAGAAATCATTCATGTGATGGAAAAAGGAAAAATACAGTTTGGAAAATCATTCAGATTTCAGATTCCATTATTAAAAGTTAATGGGTTAGAGATTTTATGTAATGGCTTTATGGGCTCAGCATTGCTCTGTTTGTTAATGTCTGCAGTGTATATATTGTCACTTCAAAGGTCAGTCTGGTTGGCAGCTTTAGGAAGAAGAACTATAAATGAAGACTTTTTCAATGGCCCTCATTGATTTGACCAGAATTGAATCACAAGATGTGTTTTTGTCTTAATTTATTTTTATTTTTCATTATTTTTCTAGGACATACTTTCTTGAATTTTTTTTTAAAGACTACTTTTCACTATGTTAAATGCAGGACGCTGAATCAAAAGCCGAATTTAAAGACAATAAAATTATTTGTAAAGAATTTTAATGTTTCACACCCTGTTGTTTGCCAAAATTTGTCTACTTAACTATAAATATCAATATCAGATCTATATCTCATTTATAATAAAATATTTGCACTTACATATGAAGGCACATTTACGGGAATGACCGTGCACACATATTATGTATAAATATTCTTTGGGTAAAAAAAGAATTGCAGTACAGAAAAAAGTAAAATTTTTTAAGCTTCTTATGTATTAAATAATTTGTATGGCAGTCATAATACTTTGAGTAAAAGATAAAGCCACTTTTGAAAAATTTACTTTAGATTTTTTAATGAAAAGTCCTTAGTATCAGAGACATATGAGAAATTCTAGGTGGTAATTTCATTTATATAAAAACTAAACAACTTGATTCTGGGAGAAAAAAAAAAACTTCAGCAGATAAAAAAAAAAAAAAAAACAACACTTTAAGGTGCCTGCCCTTTATTTAAGTGCTATTTACCAAGTCCTCCATATGAAGGTAAGGTTAAAACCATTGATTTAACCTTTGGATTCACAGGACACCATCACACTGAGACTTGCATGTGTCTTTGATTTCTGGTAAATCTGAGGCACATAGTATCCTGGATAAAAACATTACATTGAGTGATGGAACATTTGTTATTTGTTTAAAACCACCAAAACTATTTTTTCTTGTGATTCACACAAGTTTTTCTGAAGATTTCATTGTGCTACACATTCCAAATCAAAGATCCTATGATATTCTACTATTTCATAAGAAAAGTAAAATTTGACTAATTTTGTAGAGGAAATAGTCAATTATGTGTCACCTTTTAAAAGGAGCATTTTAACATTTAGCTAGCCATTTTTCACACACCCAAAGAAGGCAAAAGCATCTCTGATTGAATGTTTCTGGAGGATAACTTCTATGTGACTGCTGAGATTTACAGAATTCTCACATTTTCTTCCCCCACAACGATTCTAAATCAGATTAGTTCAGAGGAGAAGCCAGCCTACCCTGTTCTTCTAACATTATCACTTCTCCAGATGGTTCTGAGCACACCTACTCATTTCCCTTTTCCTAGAAAGCAAGTGGTACCTTATTAGATATGTAAGTGCATCCCCTTCAAAGACTGCCTTTATCATTATACTTCTCTCTCTTTCTCATTTAACATTTCATGTCTCTTTCATCTACTATGAGGCAGGATGAGAAAAGTAGAAAGCAAACACAGTGATTGCTTGAAAATTCATCTTGGCAACCTGAGCAATGAGAGGGTTAATGGTGGAGCTTTGAAGACAAGTGACCATGGGAAATTAAGGTTGGCAGGGATTTAACTCTTCATGAGTCATGCTGCAATATTTTAAGAGTGATGCAGTGAATGTTTTAACTGTGTTTGACATCCAATTAAGCAGGGAAAAGTAGCTTTATCTCTTATAGTTTATAAGCAAAGTCCTGACAATTGGCTACCAGGCATGTGCTTTTGGCAGAACAAGTGTTCATACAGAAACAAAAAGGTAATGACAGACCAATAAAATGACAGAAGAAAAACTGCTGGGACCATGATTTTTCTCCTGCTTCTTGTTGTCCATTTAACAGTTTATTTTACCAAACTACCAAGTTCCTGGTATATCAGCAGAACTGTTTTGGAGCTGTGGAAGAGTTGTAGATTTAAAGGGAAACACAATAATTCTGATGGATGCCATTGTTTAAAATGTATGGTTTATAAAGACATTATATATATATATATATATATATATCCTATAGAATCTGCAACTTGCTCCATCAGACAAGTTAAAAGAATCTGTATATAACAAAGAAATGCTTCAATTAAATGCTATTCATGATTTGTATAGACACAACAGGTGCCTGTTCCACCATGGAGAATAATTATTAGTATGGAGATGAAATTCTTATTAAATAAGGAAGTATAAAAGATGTTTATTTTATAATTTGGAACTTAGATAAGAATCTTAAAGTCTAACAGATTTTTTAAATGCATTTATTTCAAACTTTTTAATTTCAAATAATAGCATGTAGCCATTTACATCCCTAAGAGTTAAAGTTGAATGTCAAACTTACAAGGAGTGTAAACTTGTTTAAAGTGGACTGTCAACCTAAGAATATCTTGACTGTATCCTCTCAAAGAGAGAAAATACTAAGCAAAGCCTAATGTAGATATAGATTACATGCAATGGAAATAATTTTGGGATAGTTACCATGTAGAGTATAGAAAAACAGGGTGTAAATACTTTAGATAGTTAACATATAGAAACATAGTAGAGTCTTAATGGACTGAATGGATGCTATATGATTTTTAATAATTTGTGTAATAGAATGCAATTGTTGGTTGATGCTTTAAATCTATTTTTGTGACTTAAAAATGCTATACTAAAATTCATTTTCCAATTCAAAGGCTTTTATACAATGTTAAATCCAAATAAACACACTAAATAAGTGTTTAATTTTCTCATCAAAGTGTGAAAATTATGTCTCTTTCTTACTTGGTATCTCTGCTCACAGAGATTTCAGAAAGAGATACTCCCTAATGTAGGAAAATTAAAAACATTTTTGATGTAGCAGTAATGAATAAAAGAGACACAGCTCTGGAAATCTTCGATACTCTTCTTTTGCTTTGTGGGCTAAAATATGTAGCATAATTGGAAGCCAGTCATTGCCCCACCCCCAATTCTACAGTTCTGGAAACCTGAGAATCCTAAGAAACCAACACATTGGGGAATTAAACAACTTGAATTGAAACAGTTTAATCTTAAACTCCATTTACTAACACTTGAGTTACATAAATACTAAACAAAAAGTTCATAT